TCTCACTTGGCATAGAGCAGAGGTGAACAGCTGGTTGCCTGAAAGCCACATTTGACCTGCAAATATTCTATTGGGGTAACAGTGATTGAAGTCTTAAAAAAATTATCAACATTCAAAAATCAGATTTCACATAAAAATTAGGATTTCTAACTTAAAAATTGACAACAACCGGCAGACATGGTGGGGCAGCACTTCATTTGTACACCAGAGCACCAGAGACCCCACTAGGCCTGGCCACATCAATCTCTGAGTGTGTAACTCTACTCCAGCAATGAAGGGTGGGGGCTGAGAAGCTGGATGGCCTATGTAGAGTCTTGGCTCTGACGCTGAGTAGCTGGAACACCTTGAGCAACTCACCTATCCATGTCTAAGTTTCTTTGCCTGTAAAATTGGGGTAATAATACCTGTTTCATAGGATTCTTGGGTGAGCTGAATGAGATAACACTTGTGAAGTGTGCTTAGCAGGGCATGTGTTCAGCAGATAGTAGCTGTGAGCTGCTGCAGGACAGACCACACAGGAGCCATCTCGTCACCAATGAACATTTATTGAGTGTCCACATGTGCACAGCTTTGAACTTGGCGATCACAGAACGCACTGGGGGACGGGAGGGGGAAGAGAAGCAAGGAATCAGGTGTGTGGGGGTCCCCCTGGGTTTATAAGAAAGGTAGTCCCTGATGGAGCCGCCAGGCGCGTCTCTCTGCAGAGAGGAGTTATAAGCAGGGGTGGATTTAAAGCCAGGCACCACGATGGCAATGGGGTGCAATCACTAGGGAAACATGCGGTATCTGGGGAAGTGCCCTTCCTGTTCCTGGCTCCAGCCAGGCCAGATGGCACCAGGGGGACAGGAGTCAGGTACTCAGGTATCCAAGCAAAGATAAGGACAGGCAAAATAAATAACCCCCCAATTCCCATCATCACTCTGCTGCAACACGACACAAAAGCTTAGAGACCAGGGCCCAAGGGCTTCTGGGTCCCTTCAAGGAGGCTCAGGTGGAAGGTTTCCCCAACCCCTCCACCAGGCCTATCTGCCCCAGCTTTCCCTAGAAGGATGGGGCAGTTCAGACCCTGGCTCATTGAAGCTGATAGAAAGAAATATGATGTCAATGGCCTGAGCCTGCTCTCTGCCCAAGAGGGCCAAGGGCAAGAACCAAATGGCCAATTTAAAGGACGTGGACCTGGGAGGCCAGAGGGGCACCACAGCCTAGGGGAGCTCACGCCCTGGCCGGCAGGGCACATGGGCTGAGGCAGCCAGCTCCTGCCAGCCCTGTCCCACCCTGGGGCCTCCCTCCTGCAAGGGAGCCAGACATTGGGCACAATAACACCTAGTTCCCCACTCCTGGGGGCTTCTCCAACCTTCCCCGGCTGGGTGGGGACAGCCACGTTGACTTCCAAGACAATCCCCGCCCCTGAGTGGGCCCAGGGGGCGGAACGCAGTTCCTTACATTTGAAGGGTAGGCACCATGCCCTCTCCCTTGGAAAAGCCAGAAAGCTGGGGTGTTTGGGGGGAGAGGAAGTTTGGAGACGGGGGTTCAATTTGGGGGCTTGAGGGAAGATGCTTCCTCCTTCCCTTGCTGCCCGCCCCCAGTTCTGTCCCCAGTGGACACCCCTTCAGGGCTCCGACAGGCATTGCTCCAGGGCGGCCATGCGGTAGTGGCTGGCCGTCTCCTCTCCCGCCTGCAGCCTCATGGCTTCCCGGCACAGCCGGTTGGCCCGTGCCAACTCAACCAGGACACCCTGATAGGCGGCTACCATCTCAGGCTTGACGGAGTTGGGGCTGACGCTGCCTAGCAGCTGGAGCAGCTCCTGCGGCCAGCGGGAGCGCAAGGCGGCAGGGGCCAGCCAGGGCAGCAGTGGCACGCAGCCTGTGAAGGCCTGCATGCCCAGGAACCAGAGCTCCTGCAGATCGGCCCAGATGCCCTCGTAGTCAGGGGACAGGGCCAGCACTGCCTGGTCTGAGCCAGGCGTGGCCCGCGCCACATGGGATTGTGATAGAAAGAGGATGGCGGCCGCGAAGAAACCTCTGGATGCTGGTGTTCCCTGAAGAGCTAGAAAGCAAGCAGGGAGTGGGGGCATGAACCAGCGGGGCCAACTGCTTTGCCAGACCCTTACTGTCCCTTCCTGGGTGGGCACACTCAGGGAGCCAAAGCATAGCCTGCAATCAGCTTGCCTAGGTTCAAACCCTGCCTTTGACTTTACAGTGTGACTTTGGGTAATTCACTTCTCTGGGTCTCGTTTCTTCATTTGTAAAATGGGGCCAATAGTGCTAATCTTAGAAATCTGCCGTGAGAATTAAACGTAATAATCTTGGACACAACCTCATGGTCAGAGCTTCCTACAGTCTGAGTAGTGATGAGAGACGCTGCGGGGCCTAGGGCTTCTCAACAGGCTAAGGAGGGTGCACCAGTTTCATTCTTAGGCCAGAAGAGAGTACCAGAGGGGCCCGGGAACTGACGACCTGGCTTTGCTTACCTGCTGGGCTAGGGGCCACCCCTGCACTGCAGATTCTCTCCCAGAGGCTGTGAGTCTAACCTGGTAGCATTTGTGGGTCAACCAGCACTAGGGCTCTACTTAGGGGCTGTGGTGATGCAGCTGGGACTGAACGAGCACGAGGGCTAGAGAGCAGGGGGGCTCCTGGTTCATTGGGACATGATCCTCTTGTTACTGTTGGGTACCCCGCTGGGATCCCTGCTTAGGGAACAGAGGCAGCTGAGGCTATGGGCTCATTACACCCCGTTCCTGGGCATCTGCTCAGCTCCTCCAACCTGACAGATGGGGCACAGGGAACAGGCGGGGACAGAGGGACCCGAGCAGACACCCACGGCCAAAGTGGGAGACACTGAGGGCTGGCAGAGGCTGGAGGGGATGCCCCTCCCCCTGCACTCAGCCAGAGTAAGACAGGGATGGGGAGAAGGCATGTGCAGAGGAGCGCCAGGCGCTGAAGCCTGTCATGAGGGAGGTGAGGTGCCGAACAGAAAAAGCTCAATGGGGAGAAGTCAGGTTTCTGACTCAAGTCCGGGGTGGGTGAGGTGGCTCCTCCACCTTGAAAACACTGGATTCAGATTCCTTGGGCTGCTGGGATTCCAGGTGCCTGTGCCTGTGCCTCTGAGTAGGCCTGTACTTACGCCCACCAGACCTTGCCTTAAATGTCTTCAGATGGAAGAGAATGTTATCATTTTGGGAAGAAGGGTGGGGTGGGGTGGGGGATGGAAAAATACTTTAGAGAGTTCCTTTGGGTAGGAAAATTCTGTAAAACCATTTTCTGACAAAGGTGACATGCCCGGAGGCCAGCATGTCCACCCAGGTTGTCTGTTCCCACCCATTAGGACTGGGTCCCCAGAGGCTTACCTGGAGAGGTGCTAAGGAGCCGGGCCATGAGGAGGCCCAGGGTGGCCACATTGGCAGCCAGAAGCAGCCTCCCCTGCTGCTGCACTAGTGCGGGTAGCGATGTCATCAGGGTGTTCATAAGAGATGTGAAGCAAGCATCTCGTCTGGGGAGAAACGAAGGGAAAGATGGAGGGAGGTGGGGGGCGTTAATAGAGCCAGACTAAGCCTTGGGAAAACCTGGGATGCTGGGCTCCCAGCTTCACCAGGGCAGGGTTTGGCAAGAAATTAGGCAGCAGGGTGAAGAGTTCATTTTTGGCTCCATTCATGGCATCTGGGGAGCAGACACTGGGTTATGGCTGGAATGGATAGACTTGCCCAGAGGGGTCCGGAGATGCTACATCTTTATGTGGGGTGGCACTGTTTTTTCTGAGACCTTTTCATTCTACCACTAACAGGAACCCCTGGGCATAAAGAAGCAAAGTAGGAGATGGAGATTTGGGGCAAATTTGAGGAGCACCCCCTTGCTTCCTCCAACCTCCTCCCCGGCCTCACTTGATTAGCCCTGGTGCGGTGACCACGAGGTTGAGGAAGATGTGGCAGCAGGTCTGCAGGCCGATCTCCACACTGTCGGGAAGCACTGAGGTGTCATGGCCAGGGGATGTGAGTTCCCACTGCTGCAGGAAATACTTGCACAGAAGTGAGGGGGCCCCCTCCTTGATCAGGATCTCCCGGGGCCCATCTTCGACTGTCAGGTGGCACCAGCCTGGCAGAAGGAGCCTGGGGATGTGGAAGGGACAGATGTATAA